CGAGCTGACCTTTCTTATCCAAGCCACTGCTGTGCTTTTAAGAATCAGAAGAAAATAAGAGGGTAAGTGTCATAGGTCTCAAATAAGTGACAAAAGGCCTTGGTGGAAGTTGAATTAATTTCTGGGTTTGGGAAAAAAACTTTGTGATTTGAAAACAAAGTGAGGAAGAATCAGAGACATCTACAGAACAAGAAATCCATGAGACAATGATGACCTGGGAATTTGGCTCATGGCAAATTACACAGATATGATTTGTGATCTCTAGCTGCAACACATATTAGACACCACAATGCACATTAGATGCCACACCATAGGACAGACTTGCAAAAGACACAAACACTTGCATTACCTGATCCATTCAGATCTGGCAAATGTTATGGCTTATTGGTTACATGTGAGTAAACTTTGGAGTCAGCTGAGTCTCCACCTCAACTCTAGTGGTGAAGGCAGAAGCAAATAGAGTAGTTGAATAGCCATGGGAAGGTCATTATGGGCAAAACTACCTTAAAAAAAAAAAAACTAGGAATGGAGTGTGGGGATGGCAACAGCAGACTCTACTGATGACTTGTGGCACTGAGAAGGAAAGGACTAGGTAGGAGGCTAAGGTGGGCCTCAGGGGCAGGGTCCATATTTCTGCTTAACCTCCAAATAGATTGGAATATCCAGTCCACTGCACATTTTAACAAGCACCTAGTAAGTGAATCAAAATCTGCTCAGTAGCTGAAGCAAGTTAAAGAATCCCATTTATTGTGAGTTGGTGAGCTAGAGAATAACTATCTTACTTCCATGAGCATGACTGTATGGGAGTGCCCATTTATTTGTTTGTTCAACAAATATTTATTGAGCATCTACTTTGTGCCTGGCACTGAGGCTACAATGAATAGAACAGACAAGAGCCTGGAATTTACATTCTAGTGGGGAAAATTGGAAAATAAACAGGCAAACAAATGAGAAAACATTAGCTAGTGCCAGTGCTATAAAGGAGTAAACAGAAGGATGAGACAATCTCTTTAAGATCAGAGAAGGCAGCTTTAAGGATGACAATTTGAGTTTACAACTGAATAATGAGTAGATGTGGTCATGAGTTTTTCAGCCAAAGGGGCCCTGATGTTCCAAATCCCTGAACAGGAATAATATTAATAACCAACATTTATATGGTGGTACAGTGGTTAAGGCATTTGGCTGCAAAGCAGAAGTTCAGTGGTTCAAACCCACTAGCTTCTCTGTGGGGGAAAGATGAGACAATTTACTTCTGTAAAGATTTACAGCCTTGGAAACCCTATGGGTCTCTATGAGCCAGAATCAACTCGATGGCTGTGGTTGTTTTTAACATGTGCCAGTGCTGTCATAAGGCCTTTAAAAAAAATAAACTCATCTATTCTTTAATACCTCTAAGTGAAATAGATACTCTTATTCCATTTTACATGTGAATAAATGGATGTTCTTGGATCTGCCCAAGGTGTTGAGTGTTGTTGATAGCAGCCATCGTGTCAACTCCAACAGCAATCCCATTTGTGCAGAATAGAACTACTCCATAGGGTTTTGAAGGCTGCAACCTTTTGGAAGTAGATTACCAAGGTTGTCTTCCAACCATCTGTCTAGTAGTTGAGTACTTAAGTCTTTGTCCCACCCAGGGACTACTTCTCAAAATATAACAACTACTAACTAGTAGAGCCAGGTTCTAACCTTGTGGGCTGCCTCCACCATCCATACATTTTCTTATCACTGTTATTCTGAAAGCCTGAAAACAGGCTAATGCCACTGGCTTACTGTAGAGAAGATAGTAATAGGAGATGACATAGGAGAAGCAGGCATCATGAGATCATGTAGAATCCTGTAGATCACAGTAAAGAGTTTGCATATTTTCAAGGTGATATCAGGACCATTAGTAGGCTTTAAGTAGTCAGTGATGTATTCCTGTTGCCTTGCAGATTCATTGAGTCCTTAATGTGCAATGAAAGCAATATTCGGAGCCTGCGTCAAAAAAAATCTATGAAAGCCTCGAATGGCCCCTTTTACCAGGAATATGAAGAGGACCCAGATGACAGCAGTGCTGGGTACAAGAAAAGCTCCAAATTCCAGGATGCCCCCAGTAACTATCATTATTATGTGTTCTTTGAAGAACAAGAGGATGAGATCATTGGTTTGGAGCAGGAGCTTAAAAAACCCCAGGAAGAGAGCCTACAGGCCTTTGACAGCCATTATGATTACATCGTGTGTGGAGGCAATGAAGACATTGTGTGCACCCCCAAGTCAGATGAGTTCAACCCCTGTGAAGACATAATGGGCTACAAGTTCCTAAGAATCGTGGTGTGGTTTGTGAGTCTACTGGCTCTTCTAGGCAATGTTTTTGTCCTATTTATCCTCCTCACCAGCCACTACAAACTGACTGTCCCACGCTTTCTGATGTGCAACTTGGCCTTTGCGGACTTCTGCATGGGGATGTACCTGCTCCTTATTGCCTCTGTGGACCTCTACACTCACTCTGAGTACTACAATCATGCCATTGACTGGCAGACAGGCCCTGGGTGCAACACAGCTGGGTTTTTCACTGTCTTTGCCAGTGAGCTATCAGTGTACACACTGACGGTCATCACCCTGGAGCGCTGGCATGCCATCACCTTTGCCATGCGCCTAGACCGGAAGATCCGCCTCAGACATGCATATGTTATCATGGCCGGGGGTTGGGTTTGCTGCTTCCTGCTCGCCCTGCTCCCTTTAATGGGAATAAGTAGTTACGCCAAGGTCAGCATCTGCCTGCCAATGGATACTGAGAACCCTCTTGCTCTGGCTTACGTTGTCCTTATTCTGTTACTCAACATAATCGCCTTCATCATCGTATGCTTCTGTTATGTGAAGATCTACATAACAGTACGAAATCCCCAATACAACCCAGGAGCCAAAGACACCAAGATTGCCAAGAGGATGGCTGTGCTGGTCTTCACTGACTTCATGTGCATGGCCCCAATTTCATTCTATGCTCTGTCAGCACTTATGAACAAGCCTCTCATCACCGTTACCAACTCCAAAATCTTGCTGGTTCTCTTCTATCCACTTAACTCTTGTGCCAATCCATTCCTCTATGCCATTTTCACCAAGGCCTTCCAAAGAGATATCTTCATCCTGCTCAGCAAGTTTGGTGTCTGTAAACGCCAGGCTCAAGCATACAGGGGCCAGAGAGTTTCTCTAAAGAATAGTGCAGGTATTCAGGTCCAAAAGATCATCCAGGACATGAGACAAAATCTTCCCAACAATGAAGATGACTATGAACTGATTGAAAACTCCCATTTAAGACCAAATAAGCAGGGCCAAACCTCAGAAGAGTATAAGCAAACAGTATTGTAGGTGGCGCTATACTACTTGCAGCAGTAGGGGGACTTAACAAGGCTGGTTTCTTGAATGTACTTTCCAGTCTCACAACACTCTCAATGCACAGCTGAACTAACTTAACCCTGGGCAGATGATATTCCAGAAGGCAAGGGCACATCTCTGGAGAGTGACTTGTGTTAACCGAATTATTGCCTTGGAGGAGGAAAAGATGTTACCAACATGTTTGAAGCCCAGGTAATATCAAAATAATCAATGCTCTGGGAGGATGGCTTGATGAATCAGTCCAGAGATGACATTATATAAGATGCTCAAAAAATATCAGCTGATCTATATCAACAAGCCACTCAGTTTTCTATAGCATCTTATACTAAAGACTCAGCAAATGACAAATGCTATTAATTTGGTTGGTGACCACAAGATAAAATAGGCCCCATACTGGCTCAGTTCAACTTCATGATCCTCGGTTCAACCAAAGAGAGTTTGAATTGCCTTGAAACTGAAAAGCCAAACAACACAGGTAGATGCTGTACAAAGAATAGCTATTATGAGACATGAAGGAAGGGAAAGCCTTAGTTTTGAGGTTTTCTTTTTCTTTTTCTTTTCCTAACTCTTTGAAATTTGTGTATCATCTCTTCACAAGGATCTACCTGATGTGGCACATCTGGAAAAACAGGCAGGATTTCAGCTTACGTGGCCTAACAAACTAACTACTACTCTTCTTGGCTAAACTCATAACATAAAGGACATGAACTCTAGATGAGTATTTCTAAGTAGCAACAAGTGTGTTATGGGCTGAGCATACTAAATCATCCATTGAGGAACAAAGCAGGCTCGACACCAGTTAACTATGTGGCCGTGGCAAACCAAGCTATCTGTGGGCTTCAGAATTCTGTAGACATGAAGGGGTTCAATGGCCTCTTCCAGTTTTCATACTTTGTATCTATTCCTTCCCCTCAAAATACACATTTCCATAACAATGAGAGAAAAGCACTAAGGAAGCAAGATGTATTTTTTTCTATCTCACAGGGCTGATGTCTTGTTCTCTTTGGAGCCTAGACTTATGACCCAAGAAACTATCTCTTTGTTTCATTTTTGGTTCTAATATCTAAGCCAAAAATCCTACTGAATTACCATGTTGGGGTGGATCTGAATCATTGATCAAGTACTATACTGGACACACACAGCTGTAATTTTCAAACCAAAAACAGAAATCAAAATTGGTTGTTACTAATGTAATAGAATAAAATGTAGTTATTCTGGTTACCTAGTGCCACTCTGACAAGAATATACCACAAATGGAATGGCCTTAATAAGCAGGAGTTTATACTTACAATTTGGAGGCTTTAAGTCCAAGTTCAAAGTGCCAGGCTCTATGGGCTAGGTGAAAGCCCCTCAACCTTGGGGTCCAGCTCTGCCTTCTGCTTCCAGTCCACTGGAGCTAGAGGCATTTCTTCACTCAGACAGCTGCTGGCTGCTGAGGCTGAGAAGCCCCAAGGTTGACAAGTAAAAAGGCACAGTCTTGATGTTACCAATCCACATGGCAGGCCATTAACTTAAGTCCACTGTAAGTCCCAAGTTTGGCAGAGCATAGCAGGCTGCTGAGCAACGACATGGCTACATGCAGGGTCCAAGCATGCCATAGGCTAGAGACCACTCCCAAAGCTTCTCCTTAAATACAGGAAGCAGACCACATACCCAAAGGCAGCTACCCAGCTGCTTGTGGTAGATCCCATCATGGAGCTGATTGCCAGTCTCTTCATGGGGATTAACTACCACTAGCTTCCCAGCCACTCAACCAGGCCCAGCCAAGTTGACACCCAAACCAAACTACCACAGTAGTTATACAAACTTTTGTTAATTAGAGTTACTACTTCACTGTCCAGAGTCACTTCAAAACATTTAACTTGCCTTCAAGGATTAGTTTCCGTACTTAGCCAGTACCGGCCCACAGTACTATAATAAAGCAGTCAAGAACAGTTTCTTCTCTGCTGCAACTTGCAGCCTTTTCAAGGCCTGCTGATCAGTGAACCAAAACCAAAACTAAAATCACTGCCATCAAGTTGATACTGACTCCTAGCAACCCCCATTGGGTTTCTGAGGCAGTAAATCTTTACTGGACATAGAACCAATAATCCTCTTTCATGTCAGTCAGGATCTGTATCTATAGATGTACTCCCCAGGATATGCATGAAAAAACAAAAAACCAAACCCATTGCTGTCAAGTTGATTCCAACTCATAGCTATCCTAGAGGACAGACTAGCGCTGCCCCATAGGGTTTCCAAGGCTGTACAGTATCTGGTAGATTCAAACCACCAACCTTGTGATTAGTAGCTGAGTGCTTTAACCACTGCATCGCCAAGGCTCCTTTATCTGTAATTTAATTTCCTTCCAGAAAGGAGTCCCCAAGAACTGCTTCTCAGTGAACCACACCATGAAATAAAAGCCTTTTGTTGTTCAAGTTGTGGAGCACGGTTAACAGGCCAAATGGGCCCCTGGTGATAGCCCCCTGAGTCACCTCGAATCTCTCCTCAGCTAGACCCATTCCTGGTTATCATCAAGACTTGCACATGTTAATAAAAATATTACAAACACCTAAAATGATGACTTCCCATCAGTTCATTTGTACTTAATGAATTTAAACAAACGTGTTACCTTGTGGCATGTGTTCCTCACATGTGACATTTTGAAATGTCTCATCTTGATAAATAATATGCTTTAATCTTGAGTAGTTGAACTAATTAATGCTTTGGAAACAGAGTCCTAGAAAGTGACTTCAACAGAATTACTAGTGAAATTGAACGTACTGCATTTACAGCATGAAATAAATTTTCTTCCTATGAAATGATTGTATTGACTCTCAGAGTTTTATTTTTTGTATTTGTGAATTTCTATTGGGGTTACCATTGTATGAGTTACAACTAAAGACAGGAAAAAATTATTAGGACATTTGCTAATAAATCCAT